GTACTGCCGCCGCAAGATTGCCGATAGGAACTGCAACTCACGCCCGCACTCCCTGTACCACTTGCGCCTCATAAATATATCTACATTCTGCATATGTTAAGTGCGGACATATTTCTGTGTGGATTTTTAGGAAAGCTCCACTAATATCTAACGGTCGCGTACATTGTCCGATAAAGATGTATGCACAAATCGTGTTACTAGATTACAATTTGCCAAAATCGGTCCTTTGAGCTCACCTCCGCGAGTAACTCCCCTGGCGCGTCGGTCGCGTCGCAGTCTGCAGGCCGTGCCGCGCGTCGGCCGCCGCACGGCACGTCGCCTTCTGCAGCGGGCTGACTCGAGCCGCCCGCGCCGCCACCGCCGCCTACCTCGCCCGTCTCGCCCGCCTCGTCTGCCACAAGGAAGGTGGCGGCCACGTCATGTAGCCGGGTACGCGGGCCTCGCTCGGCATCTGCAACACTCCACTCTAACAAAACCTACGCCGGTCGACGACGAATAAGGAAATGAAGAGCTTTGCCAGATGACTATAGACCAGTGATCGGCAAATTATTTTGTTTGCCTTGAAAAGTTGGAAACCAAATATGATTGTTCAGTAAACGTTTATTATACTAAATTCTTAAATTAGTAGTTCACTAAACAAGACTCATACTATGTTAATAATTAATTATTTACGCGCACCACAGACAATACAATTTAGAATTCATGTATGCGAACAGTGTGATTCATAGCCGCACTCCTGTCACCTTCATAACACCGCTAGCTTTTGCCCGCAACTTCTGACATCCGTTCAGCAGTTTAGGCAACAAACTAGCAAACCACAAACCATCCATCCGTCCTTCTTTCCGAAATTTCGCAATTCTAAAATTATTATGAAGTGATATTTACAAATAAAGTCTATAACTCCCTCTCTCTCTCTCTCTCCGGATCGTTTCCTTGTTCTTGATGGTCGCGATAAGGTAGGGAGTTACAGAGTGTAACTCCCTACCTTATCGGCAATCGGCAATGTATGATAAAATATACGAGTATTGTAAATCGATCTTTCTATCTTCCGGCGTTAAAAATCCTTATGCAAATAAATGCGTTTCTTGTCAGGAGAATTTAATGTAGAATAAAATTGTCCTTAACAGTATATATATTGTAAAAATCCTGTAGAAGATATTACAAACACAAACACAAACAATAATGGTAACTAAAGAATCAACTCGCTAACCACCGGGCTTATAAATTTGGAATCTTGCATCAGTAGCTTTCTGTTACTACGTAGATTACTGCATGTCAATACGTACTAAGAAATAAGCTGTAGGTGTTTTAGGCGTCCTTCAAATTTACCCTGTATGGGTTTTAAAAAGGGGCGAACGTATGTACGTACGTTATGTATGGTCTTTTAAACTTTACGCGGACGAAGTCGCAGGCAACAGCTATATGACAAGCCGCGTAAACAAGTGAACAACTTCCAATGGCAGTTTCATAATAAACTAATGGGGTCCAATTTATTAAATTATATAGGTACCTAAGTAATACTGTTCCTTTACATATATGACTAACCTTACCCTTCCAGATCTCCATATAAGCAGTTAGCGTGTGGTGTCGCGCTCGACGGCGGGCGGCGACGGCGGGCCGAGGCCGCAGACACCAAAACAAAAGTGCGATACCTAGGGCGTATCGATTGTCCGCGCAACAGTCGTTGTTGTTTTCGATTCGTGACAATTGTATTCGACCTCGCTACTGAATCCCGTTTCCTTTTTAGCTTGTTAGTGTCGCACTGTGAATCTACGGTCGCATATTTCTTTTTACTAGTTGAGTATTTTTGAGAGAGGAATACATTCATACATTTCGTTTGCAAAATAGCTGAAGCGGAGGGCGAAGGAGTGCCGATGACGGCCGCCGCGCCAGCAGCGCGCCGCCGCGCACCAGCGCACTACTTACTGCGCACCTGCGCACGCCTTACCCTAATTGCATTCATTGACCTCAAGTCCGATTTAGACTAAACATAAACTAGATTAAACACCACCACGGCCACCAGAAGAGCGTGGAAATCAGCGAGCTACCGGGTGAATCACAGTTCACAATTCCAAACTCAGATCATCACTCTGCGCAAGGAAATTGTACTGAGTTGCCCATTGAATTACTTGCTTTGCATCCTATTTGCTTAAATTCTTTTCTTCTTTTCTGTTTGGAACGATTCCTGTCACCAACTTTCGTCATCGGACGACACGACAGAGCCCCAGGTACCATCCTCACTACACCTATGGCTGGCATTCCACAACCGTACGGTTCTCGCGGAACTCTCTGCCCCGCAAGGTCGCGTTGCGGAACGGTCTGTCCTCGGCGGTATTTCCAGTACCACTTAGGGTCCTACAAGAAGCCAGCCTACCGTTTCCTCAAAGGCCATCAACGCGTCTGTAGTTCTTCTGGTGTTGAGGATGTCCATGGGCGTCGTTGACCACCTCTGTGTTCTCGCTCTTTCGACCTCCTTTTATTTTATTATCAATGTTATGTCTTTAAGGGCAGGAATAGCCTAAACATAATAGAAATTATCTTACTTATTGCTTATCTAGAGAATAATATAAATCTTACTGATTGTTTGATGTTTACAAACAACCGACAGATCAAACTATGGTTTAAACTGTCGGTTAAACTGTCGGCCCAGCGCAGTGGTTCGAACTTGATCTAAGCAAGACAATATTATGTTAGTACTATATTTGTATTATAACAGTTTTCTACAAAAGTTCGTAAAGTTTTGAGTCCACTTCCGACAAACGAAATCAAGAGCATTTCTTAGTTATATTGTAAGGTCCTTCAAATGGTAAGTTTTTATATTCAAGTGGAAAAATGAAAGAATTTTCTTAAAATGTGGAAATATTACTGTGCTGGTAGCCCTTAAAGCTCATAGCCCCCTTGTCAATGTCAAAAAGATTTCACAAGATCCTTGTAAAATCCTCGCTGTCAAACGTCAAAAAACTGTCAAATGGTTTTTGTTGGTTGTCGGACGTTGGATCGCACAATTTACATCACAATCAATTCAACTAATCAACTTGTATTTTACAAACAAAATTAATCTAGTCCACTCTCCACGCTGGGAGTAAATGTGTTTTCTGTGAGTCAGAGTCACCGAAATGGCTGACTTGCTTGCTGTTCCGTTGAAAAAGTCTTCTGACGTCGATATTGTAAAACCATTGAAGAATATAATCCAATCGACATACAATACAGGAGACAACAGTGAAGACCACAGCGATGCAATAGAAGAGCTGGCGCGGCTTAGAGTTAATGCTATTTGGAAAGTTTTCGAGAAATCCTCTCTAGAAGTTATTTACAGGTATGTGAGCGTCATATGAGTCATCCTATTTATTAGATCACTGTAATAATCTTAATACGTACCCTATTTTGGGTTCTTTTGGATATAATAAAACGTAAATAAGATGTGAAAATGGCATATAACATTGGTGTAGAGTTAAGCTATTAGCTTCTAAGGTATGAATATATGTGTAAATGAGAAATGTTTTTGGGCAGCTACTATGACCAGCTGACGTCGTTGGCGACCAAAGTGCCGCCTCAGGAGCTGCAGATACCCTTCAAGTGGAAAGATGCCTTTGACAGAGGCTCCATTTTTGGAGGACGCATGAGCCTAAGTTGGTGATATATGTTGTAATTTTTACTTTAATTAATAAAGTGCGGTGACTGGTAGTGGAGCCGGGGCGTGTATGTGTGTATGTGTGTGCAGCTGTCGCGTCGCTGGCGTATGAGCGTGTCTGTGTCCTGTTCAACATTGCGGCCCTGCAGAGTGCTCTCGCCGCCCAACAGCCATTAGACACAGAGGACTCCCTCAAGCTTGCAGCTAAACTCTTACAGGTTTATAAGAGAGTATTTAGTTTCTTTAAATGCCAATTGATATAAAATGAACTCCAAGAAAGCTCCATATCCCTATCTCTCGTAATCATTGATTACTACAATAAAGTAAAGAAAGGCAAAGAACATAATAATGTTAATAATGGTGACATTCTTTTAGGGTATGGCACAAATGTTAATGTGTAA